ATACATATACATATATACACACACACATATATATACATACATATATATATATACACATACATATATATACACATACATATATATACATATACATATATACACATACATATACATATATGCACACATATATATACATATACATATACACACACATATATATATATACACACACATACACACATATATATACATATACATATACATATATACACATACATATTATATATACATTCATATATATACACACATACATATATATACACATACATACATATATATACACATACATACATATATATACACATACATATATACACATGCATATATATACACATACATATATACACATACATATACATATACACACATACATATATAACACATTCATATATATACACACATACATATATATACACATACATATATATACACATACATATATATACACACACACACACATATATTATAAACTCCAAAGTAAGGTTGAAAACTGAATTTAAAAACCGTTTTAGCTAATCTCTTTCCAAAATTATATAATTATTATGCATTTTACGTTGCTTTTTGGGGTTTCCCAGGTGAGAGAGTAGAACTGCCTTATGGAGTTTCTTGGGCCAACATCACTAGGAGTTGGAACCACTCCATGGCAATGGGCTTGACTTGAGTTTAATTTTTTGTAGAAGCAGATAACTAGGTCTTTCTCCGGTGGACTCACTAAACCGTTACCATTGCAGTGATTCTGACTCACAGGGAGCCTATGTGGAACAGAGTAGAATTCTCCTTAGGGATTCTCATACTGTATATCTTTATAGGAACAGGGATCTTCAGCTTCTCCCTATAGAGTAGCTGGTGGATTTGAACCACTGACTTTCTGGTTAGCAGTCCAATGCTTACCCCACAACACCACCATGGCTCCTTTGTTGAGCACTTTACCAACATTCTAATTAAAAAAAAAAAAAATGTTGCCAATTCATAATGATCCCATAGAACAGAATAGAAGTATCCCATAAGGTTCCCAAGGCTGTAAATCTTTATGGAAGAAGACTATCACATCTTTCTCCCAAGGAGCGACCGGTGGATTCAAACCATCCACCTTGAGGTTAGCAGTCCAGTGCTTAATCCCTGAGCCACCAGGGCTCATTTACATTCTAATACCCCTAATAAAATAGTATACAACACAATGAAATGTTTTTAAAGTCCTGACTGTACAGTTGAATACCGTGTAGCTTCCTTTTGTCTTTTAATTTACAGCTTTACTTCTTCCGCCTGCCAATTTCACTATCAAGATTATTGGTTTAGCTCAAGTTCTTTTACGTTGGGAGCCAGACCCTCAACAAGAGCTAAGGAATGCTGTTCTGGGATATGCGGTGAGAATAAATACACCTCAAGAAGATGATGTAAGTGTTTATTCTAATAGCAATCGTTATTCATGTCGACAGAATTTTCATGATCAAATGTTAAGTTATAAACAAGCAAAAAACCTCAAGAGACTGTTCAAGGCCTTTTGTTAATGTTTCCTTTAGAGTAGCGACAGACATTGCTTTTAGCTTTAAACAGCACAGAACCCCTTAACTTTGGGCTGTCTTTCACTTATTAATTTGGTAATAGTTCAGGTTCGGTGGATTCGATCTTAGTTTTAATTTCATCAGCTGCTAATTATAAGGTCGGCACTGGACCACAAAGTTGGTTTGAACCTTAAGATTGGCAGTTCAAATCTACCAGCTGCTCCTTAGAAACCCTAAACAGTGTCACTATGATTCAAAATGGACTCGACAACACCAAAAACAAACAAAAACCACAAACTGGTTGTGACTTGTGGTGATTCCGAATGTGTCAGAGTAGAACTGTGATCCCCAGCGTTTTCAAGGGCTGGTATTTCAGAAGTAGATTCTCAGGCTATTCTTCTGAGACATCTCCTCTAGGTAGACTCACTCCTCTAACCTTTGGGTTAGCAGCCAAGAACCATCACTAACTGAACCAGCCCGGGATTCTATTATATTATTCTAATGGCCTTATTTTAAAATTTGCCTAGCTAAACTATTTCATTGCATTTTGTTCATGTATCATTTAAGACTTGGAAAAACCTGCACGTCTGATTTAAATAGTCTTCTCTCAACTGGCTCGTCTTTTATGTTTTATGTTTCATGACTTGTGGTTTTTATTTTTAGTATGAAACCAGGGACACTGAAAGGCGGTGTGTAACGATTCTTCACAAGGGCTTTTCAGCAAGTGTGCAGACCATCTTTTGGAATGAACACTCACTCCCTGCCAGCAGTTGGGTTACTGCAGAACTGAAAGACCCTCCAGGTAAGGCAGACCCTCTAAAAGCTGAGCTTAATGTTTCAGATATAGCTGATCTGGACAATTGGAAACAACTCCTTTATTTTTTTCACCAGTTCACATCAAGTATCTGTCCATAATATCAACATCCTAATTGTCTTAGTTATTTAGTATGAACTATACTTTAGTCCTGGTGTGGTGCTGTAGGATGATGCACTGGGCCCCAAGATTGGTTTGAATCATAAGGTTGGTGGTTTGAACACACCAAATGCTCCTCAGAAACCCTAGACTGGGTCCTAATGAGTTGGAACCAATAAGATGACAGTGAGCCAAAACAACTCTTCAGTCAATATGTTTATAACAGAAATACCACAACTGAGTGACTTTAAAAGAAATTCTGTCACAGTTACGTAGGTTAGAAGTCAGAATTCCAAGGGCCAACTCAAAGGCAAAGCTTTCTCTTTCTCTCTCTGTCAACTTTGGGGAAGGCCCCTATTTCTTGGTCATCTACACATATTTGGCATCAATTTCCCTCCAACTCTGCCTGCTTCTTCTTTCTGATTTTCAGTAAAAATTTATTGATTTTATTGTTATTGAGAATATATACAGCAAAACAAAACCCATACCAATTTAACAGTTTCTTCAGTGACCTCGTATGCATGTAAAAGTTGGACAGTGAATAAGGAAGACCATAGAAGAATTGGTACATTTGAGTTATGGTGTTGGAGGAAAATATTGAAAGTGCCATGGGCTGCCCATAGAACCAACAGATCTCTGTTGGAAGAAGTGCAGCCAGAGTGCTCCTTGGAGGCAAGGAAAGCCAAACTTCATCTCTAATACTTGCGACATGTTGTCAGGAGGGACCAGTCGCTGAAGAAGGATATCATGTTTGGTAAGGTGGAGAGTCAAAGAAAGAAAGAAAGACCCCCAATGAGATGGACTGGCAGAGTGGCAACATCAGTGGGCTCAAGTGTGGCAACTATTGTGAGGTTGGCCCAGGATCAGGCAGTGTTTCATTCTGCTGTGCAGAAGGTCACTATGAGTCGGTACCGACTCAATGGCACCTAACAACAACAACATGCAACATTGACTACATCCTTCAAGTTGGGCAACCAATTAGTGACGTTGGTTACATTGTTCAAGTTGTACAACCATCTTACCCTCCTTTTCTGGGTTGTTCCTCCAACATTAAAAAAGTAGAAACTGTCTCTCAGATCCCAGGCTGGCCCTTAGGTAATTTAAAAACCTTTCTCTTGTCTCAACTGACTGAGGAGATCTTGCCTCCAGAATTGTGTCAGTAACTGAGAATGACGCCTAGACTGTCTTCCCATGGACTCATTTTATATACTCATGTTACAACAACATGGCATCTGTAACGCAATAAAGCAAATAAATCCTCGTGGCCTTAATCCCAGGTACAGAGCCACTTCCGAGGTAGACACAAGATCACAAATATAGGCCTGTGCATTGTTCATTAAGCCATTTTCCCTATTCTCTTTAACAAACAACTGAAGTATGCCTCTAATGTACCTTTCTTTAACGTACATGACTACAATTTGAGTTAGTCTCCTGGCACTCTGGTATAGGTTCATGGTAATGAAAAATGATTTCTACCTTGAGCTAAATGGAATTAACACCAAATAACTCCTTGGAAGGTAACTGTAAGACTTCAGGGACTCTAAATTGCATTTTGGCATAAATCATCTAGTCATCTAGTGAAAGGGTGGTGGTGGTGGTTATGTGCTGTGTAGTCAGTTCCGACCCATAGCGACCCTGTACAGAGTTTCCGAGGCTTTAATCTTTACGGGAACAGAAAGCCTCATCTTTCTACCATCGAACAGCTGGTAGTTTCGAACAGCTGACTTTTCAGTTCGCAGGCTGATTTATAACCACTATGCTACCAGAGCTCCTTAGTGAAAGGATAGGGACACACATGTGCACACATTCCCCACCCCTACTTTTTCAAAACTTTTTATTGTGGGTGAAGGTTTATAGAGAAGAACAGGTTTCCTTTAAACAGTCCATACACATTTTGTTGGATTGTGGGTGAAGGTTTATAGAGAAGAACAGGTTTCCTTTAAACAGTCCATACACATTTTGTTGGATTGTGGGTGAAGGTTTATAGAGAAGAACAGGGTTCCTTTAAACAGTCCATACACATTTTATTGGATTGTGGGTGAAGGTTTAGAGAGAAGAACAGGTCTCCTGTAAACACATTTTGTTGGAGCTCATTGACTGCAATCCCACAATGAGACATCACTTATCCCATTTCTCCCTGTGTTTTCTGTTCCCATTCTTCCTTTGTTCCTACACTTTGGAACTTTGTTTATAGATAAATGTTGCTCTTTTGATCTCAAACAGATGATTACTCCAAGCACTGCATACCTCCCTAGGGTTAGTGTTCTCCCTATAGAACTGGCTAGTGTTTGGATGAAAGTTTGCCACAGGGGTGAATTCATTTCCAACTGAAGGATATCTAAGGGCCTTGTTCTGAGGGATTCCATCAGTTTATATCTAACGCGTAATTCTCATATTTTTAAAACAGATTTTGAGTTTTATTTCACATTTTTCCCCATTCTGTTTAGAACTTCTATTATGATTCCTTTCAGAGCAGATGGTAGTGTTAGCGGGACACCATCTTATTCTTCTGGTCTCAGAGTTATGGAGACTGATGTTCACGTGTTCCGTTGGACTGTTTCTATGCATCTTCAATTTTCATCACTCGTCTTTCCTCCAGATGGGGAGATACCAGTGGTTACACCCTAGATGGCTGCTCATGAGTTTTGAAAGTCCCAGTAGCTACTACCAAAGTAGGACATAGAACATTGTTCTTGTAGACTATGTTATTCCAGTTGATCTTGGTTTCCCCTGAAACCATGGTGTTGGTCTCCAGGCCCAGTGAGTCTTTCCCTCAAGGTGTTTGATGATGTTTAAAAAGTTACCATATCCTTGCCTCTTATGTGTTTCACCACATTCATGAATATATTTACAGCAAAGGTAAATACGCATATACAGATATCCTCTGACAAGCCGATATATACCATTGTGTATACTCCCACTTGTCCTCCATGCCTATTCATCCTGCATATCTATCCCTACATCTACTCATGTTGCTGTTAAATGCCATTGGGAGGGTTCTGACTCATACAGATCCTGTATAGGGTTTTCCAGGAGTGACAGATGTCTATGAACCACTGACCTTGTGGTTAGCACTCCAGTGCTTATCCTGCAGTGCCACACTAGGACGCCTACTCATCTGCTCAATGATCACTGTTATTGCAGGATTGTGTATTTAACAGTAGTTACCTCTGTAACTTTTAAGGAGCTCTGGTAGCATAGTGGTTACGAGTCGGGCTGTGAACCACAAGGTCAGCAGTTCAAAACTACCAGCTGTTCCGTGGGAGAAAGATGAGGCTTTCTGCTCCCGTAAAGATTTACAGCCTCGGAAACCCTGT